GCAGTTGCTTTACACAGCCTGATCTAACCCTGGTAATGACTGCAGCCCCTGGGAACCTTCCTGAAATGTTATGCTAAGAAAAAAATTGCAAACAGTTTCTGTTCAAAATCAGCAGATTTTCTGAAGACAATGTGAAACAACTAGAGGCTAAATGACCAAACTGCATCCTCCATTTGCTTGGTATAGTTATACTTGCCCAATGAGGAATAGCAACCAAAACATGGAATTAAGGCAATTTCTCATAGAGAAGGCAGTTTCTCGTAATGAATAGCAGATACATGCAGTGAATGCAGCTCACAAGCCAGAGGCTAAGATTCTTTTCAGTAGAAAATCTTTGTGTAGTAATTCTCAAACAGATATGTAAAAAATTAGATCCAGCACAAAAGGTGAATTTTGTGGAATAAATTACTTGCTCTGAATAGTTTGTAGAGAGGTATCTACAAAACAGAAGGAAAAGCTGCCCGGAGGTAGCAAAGGCTCAGAACATCCGCGTCAGCCTTTTCAGTGAAGCTCATGATATCAAAAGCCCTGGCAGGAAACATAATAAACAAACGCTAGCTTTACAGCTGAACCCTTCTTAGAAATCAGCGTGTATATTACAGGAGAAGAGTGGGTATCGCTAGGTTTTGGGTATTTGCTTACTACAGAAACCAAGGTGCCTGCCAGGTCAGTGCTGGCTTGTTGTGGAGCTTGGAATAATGTTGTTCATCCAGAGTAAATAAGCTGCTGGCTCCTTGCATCTACCTGTGGTTCCTGATAATTCTTACCCTACAGTTGCTGCAAAGAGACTTAGTGTGTTAGAAATGCTCCGTAGCTGTGAGCCCTTCACTTACCAAATGTGACTTGCTGACAAGGCGTTGGGTGGCTCTGTACCTAAAGCTTAAGGACAGTTCCACAGTCTGCCTCCTTGAAAGTTGGGAGGGAGGAAGGGGGAAGTGGGAAACCTTGTAATTCTGACTTACAAGAGGGGAGTTTAGTCAGATAACCTATGAAAGTAACTTAGATATTCCACCTTGGGCTGAATCTGAACTGATTTTAAGAACACAGAACACAGTAACTGCTCCTGCAGGTTACCAGTTTTGTGAAGGACCAGCTAAAGGACTACTAAAGCTCTCAGAGGAGCTGATCCTTGTCATGCAGAAGGTAAAACCATATGGGCACAGTGATGGTATAATTCCTGAAGCTTGACAACCACCTTTGCAAAAGTTAAGCTGGCCTCATGGGGAAAATTCTTCTGTGCACTTCTGAGGTACAAAGTTTTAGGATTGATGTGACCAAGGCCTGGGTGGCATTCTGAGTTTTCATCTCTGCTTTTCTCGGAGCAGTGCTGAAAGAATCTTAAAGAAGCTGGTGATGGAAAGTTCTGGAGAAAAATCATTTACTTACCAGACATATGGTATGGATACCAGCAGCATGAGCTCCCTTTATAATAGATTTCAATCCTGTTTGGCTTTGAGTGGGAGAAGAGTTCAGTCACTCCTGCATTGCTGGCAGTTTGGGTCCTCTGCAAAGGTAGCATTTACTGCTCTCACACAGCAATGAGCAGAGTTTTGCCAGCAGCTGAGCTCACATCAAGAGCATTGGGATAGTTCTGTGAGCAGCACAGAAAGGAATTGCACAATATTTTCAGTTGATGTTCCTGCTATAGCACACTTCAAGGATTTTCTTTGTAATAGAGAAGAGGAAATTCATACACTTAGGCGATAGCATGGAGCATAGCTCGATAGATAGATATGATGGGAATCAAGCTGATACTTTGATCAGTAAGAGAGAAGCAGCATGTGCAGTGCCACTATGCTTAGTGGCATTGCAAAGCTGCTCTGGGTAAAGGTACCTCTAGTTCCCTCAGCTCAATTTCACTTGGCATCTGAACTTTGCTGGAGCAGATGGATGCCAACCACAGAGTTACAACTGCAGATTCCTCCCTGAGCATCCATCCTCATAAGGGTAGTACAACAGTTTACTCTGCACACTTCTAGCTGTGCCTTCCTGCTGATTCCTTTCATGTGGGCTGACCTCTGTTGTATTGTAGACTTATTGAGCCCAAAACCTTGGATTAGGATGAACAGGAAACGTGTTAGACTCTGTAACAAGAAATTGGTTAGACTTATTCCAGCAATGCATCCATGCTTAATGCTTCAGAGAAGGGTGAAAAATCTAGGAGCAGCATCCCTGTCTGCCTGACCTAAGGGTCTGTTTCCTTCAGTACAACAGATGTGGGGAATCATTCCGTGCTCTGATCAGCCCTCAGGGCACTCAGTGACCAGCCTCATCATCTGCAAAGAGCACTTCTCCCTCCTGGTCCCTTCAAACTCTTGGTTGGAATCAGGATGTTAATTGGCTAGTAGTCAGATTTTTATTTAGATGTAGGAAGAGCGAGCAAGGATGGTGTGGCTGGAACGGAGATCATCATGGAATTTACTGCTCACAGTTGAGTGTACTTTGGATACCACTGTATCACTGCCACTGCAATCACACTCTTAGATCTGGGAGGTCTCTAAATGTATACTTAAGACTCATTAAAGTCATGGGAATGTAAGCATAAGTCTAAAATTATACGTATGGTCAAGTGATAATCTGAATTCAGACCATAATCTTTTGTGCTTTAGGCTGTGGTAATATAAATCAGTGAAAAGTTCTGTGCATTACTACTAAAAGTATTTGCAGTAAAAATGAGATGTTTGGTTAACTTTGCTAGAAACTGGATGATTATTTAAAGAAATTACAGCAAATGGAATAGAATCTTTTACAGACTCTTCCGTTTGCTTTAAATTTGAGTCTTGGCTCTGTGTTCTTGTCAGCTAGCCATACCAATCTTTTTCTAGGCAGGTATCTGGTAATGTAAAGATTATTTCCTGACAAATAAATGTTTTTCCACTTTCTTGCCAATGCTTCTGATCCATGAGAGCAGGTAAGCAGAAGTGAAGAGGAAAAACCCGTGTGAAGACAAGATTGCAATTTCAGGCTTTATTTTAATTCAAAGCTCTTTCCACACTAGATTTTTTTTTTCCCAAATACTATTCTTGGTTTGAAACTTTAATTCTGGGCGTACATTTGGTGCCCAGATGGTGCAGATTCACACAGAAGCCCATCACGCTGTCAGGGCGGGTGGATACATACGTAAATATTTTGCCTTTTTCCCCTATAATATTTGGCTTTGTCTGATCTAATTGCTGTCAAAGGCAGGATGCGAGGAATGCTTAAAAGAAGCAAACAGAGAGGACCTCCAATGTCTGTATTGCAGTAACTTGGGAGGATGCTTAATCTACTCAGTGGTAACTAATAATTTTGTTGCATGGGGTTGTTTTTTTTTATTCATGCTGTGAATTCATGGTGTATGGTCAAAATCTGTCCCAAGTAATATTTTGCAACCCAAAGCAGAAACCTATATTTTTAGTGACGTAAAAACATGGTTAACCCTTTGGAGCTATATGTAAGGCTAATGCCTCTGCCTTTTTAGTTTTGTTGCCAGTTAGTGTTGTCTGCATGCTTCTTGGTATGTCATTCTCTCATTTACATAAATCATTGCTTCATTTAATTCTACTGAGTGCATGTCTTAATGCATTTTTAAAACATAACTGCAATTCCAGAGCAGTTGCTCCTCTAAACAGTGGTAGCTAATAGCAAACAGTGTGGACAACTGCATTCAAGATGCCTTTTTAATTATTAGAGGGCTGTTCCAAAATACCGTAATATTAATGGAAAAATGATTTTCACGAGGTTTAAATCTGAATGCTCAGTAAGAGGGTCTAATGAAAACGGTGTTAGTTAAGGGTACTGGCAAGAGGGATGCAGGAAACTTTACTACTTTTTCACCAGTGCAAGAATGATTGCACTGTCACAGACTTACAATCAGATGTAGAAATTGGTGAGGCTATAGTTCACAAAAAGCATTGGGCTATGCCAGGCCCATTCCTCTGAGGACACTGAGCCGAGAGCTGCCAGAAGAGGATGGCCTGGAGGTGTGATGATTGTAGAGGAAGAAAATTGGCTATAAAAGGAAAATATGAGTTTGTGACCAGAAGTCAAGCAGAAGAAGCACGTGGTTGGTTTTTTCCATAGAATGCAGATGAAATCCTGTAAGTTGCACCGGGTAAGTTTAGGTTGGATATCAGGAAAAACTTCTTTACAGGAAGAGTTGTTAAGCACTGGAATAGGCTCCCTAGGGAGCTGGTTGAGTCACCATCCCTGTATGCATTTAAAAACCATTTGGATGTGGTGCTCAGGGACATGATTTAGCAGAGGGATGTTAGAGTTAGGGTAGTATGGTGAAGTTGTGGTTGGATTCAATCTTCAAGGTCTTTTCCAACCTGAGCAATTCTATGATTCTAAGGGCAAAAATGTTGCCTGTTCCAGCCATTTGTGTTGCCATTTGAAACCTATTATCCAGAGGTGCTTATAAATTCTATCTGAGACTGCTGTGAAAGTGGCTGGGTACCTTCCAGTCGCTGCCATAACCAGTGACACTTGCTTCTGCTCGTCTTGCTTCTTGGCTGTGGGGTGAATGTAGACTGAAAAATTGTTTTCTATAAATACATATTTTTCTCGTGGTGATTTTATTACTGAAGATAAGATGAAAGCTGTTTGCTTTGCACGTCTCCTGAAGCCTGCCCACAGAAGTGTTATTGCAAGATAAGCTACAATGGGAATTTCTGATTTCTCTGTGGTAAATGCTGGCCCACGTATTGCTAGCTCGTGGCTCTGGGAAAAGAAAGGAAAGAAGGAGTGACTTGCCACGTTCTACCCGGTGGTGAAAGCACAACTCTGACAGCTGCTGTGTAGCCTTTGTTGTATCTTAATTTTGCATGTGAGCTTTTCCTACGGATTGCTGTTGCCTGTCATATGCCAAAGGTAGTACTGGCTGCCACACTGGATTGATGGCAGGGACTGATTTTCTCTCAGTCTTTACTTTTGCTTGTCAGGTCCATCTAGTCTACAGCTGGGAGAACATATTGCATTCATGTAACATCAATTCCCCTTCTGTATTTTTCCCTTTCCAGGAGCAATTGAGCGGTGCTCATACATCAAGTACCACTACTCCTCAGCGACCATTCCCAAGAACCTCACCTACAACATCACCAAGACAATCCGCCAGGATGAGTGGCACGCCTTGCGTAAGTGTTGCTGGCTTTCTTCTCCATTTTCCTCACGTACAGACTGAGGGAGGTACTCGCTAAGAAACGAGAATGGGGAAATTGACAGGCAACTCGCTTAGACTTGTGTTCTCACGTGCAGTTAGTCTTTATAGCAGATGGATCAATTTGTACTTAAGACCTACATGGCTATTTCTGCTGCTGAATAGAAATTCTGCTGAGGCATAAAGAATTGGTGGTGGGAAGAGATGTTTATACGCAGATTAATATGTAGTTAAATATGAAAATGTATAACAAGATCAATGGCCTATTTTTTTAATTTAGTAGAATGTTCAGTTTGTAAGTATGTCTTCCTGCATTTCATGCTGCTGCTGAGTTTTCTGCTTCCAGCAGAATTCATTGCTGGCTTTTACTGCAGAATATGTCCTCCTGCCTGCAGCTCCTGATAAGTGTGGCATCACTCTCTTCTGAAGATGTAGAAAGAGATGCTGCACCCTCAAAGGAACAGGGAAGGAGCTTTTATCCTTTAGTGATAACAGTACCTGGTGGTCATCAACTTGTAACATTTGCTTAAGCAACAAAATCCGACAGAGATGGAACTGCCTTGAGTTGCATGGAGGGCTTTAAAGCTTTTTCCTCATCTTGGAATTGGAAAATGGCTTTCACAAACCAAGTAGAAGAGGTAGGATTTTGCAAGAAATGATAGCACTGCAACTTCCTTTTGTTACTATGCAGTCATGGTTACTGATGAATGTCCAGAGTTCCTCTGCCTCAGTGCAAGTAGTAAACAGCCCTTTGGAAATGATGGAAGTTAAAGAATGCTGATATTGATGCATAATCTCAGAAGGTAATTGTAAGCAGCAAGTCCAAACTGTCTGAGAAATATGTTAGAACTCTGGTGTTTCCAGGGCTTTCAGTACCTGTTTCACTCCTGCCTTCTTGAGCTGTTTCTCTGGAGGATGCTTTTAAGCTTTGGGAAGGAGAAGCTGTTACGATATCATTCACTCCTTGAATTGGTAAGATCAAACCTGGTTTTTGTTAGTTCTTGTACACCCACCGCGATATTTGATAAAGCATTAAAGTAGTTCCGGAGGGACCTACTGGGATCCTTTATTATTGTTATTTTGATTCTATGGATAAATTTTTATTTTGATGTGATGAAGAAAAGGAATACTGAATTCCTGCCTCTCCATCCATCTCAAAGGTTGTAAGAGGCCAGCCTTGCACAGTGTGGCACTCGTTTGTCCCTAAATTTAGACGATCAGGTTGTTCAGTACCTTTCAGGTTGTCTGCTTCTATGCCATCTCCACTGGTGTCAGTTTTATGTTAGCACTACTAGTCTGTGTGTGCAGAAAACAAACACCCTCTCCCTCCTGCCCCCACAGAAAAGGCATCTTCTGTTAAGTTGCAGTACGAAGAGGCTGTGGTTTATGCTTCTGGCTGTGTATGTGCGCTTTTGCCACTGCTGTGAGCAGTGATGACTTTTCTGTGATTATCCTCTGGGAATCTCACTAATTACTATAGGAATTATTGTCTTGAAGTTGATCTTTATTTCTGCAGTGTCTCGCAATGGGTTATCCTCATGCTCTTTGGATGTTTTTCCACAACTTAAATGTAATTACTAAATGTCTGGCAATGTTAGTCCTTCAGTGTGTGTGCCCCTTGATGGGATCAGCAAGTTCCTGAGCACGGTGTTGGCAGCTGACTGAAGCTTTCAGGAGTACATTTGGCAGTCTCCAAAGTGGCAGCCTATATGCAGTGCTTGCACTTTAACATATCTGATGTGATCTGAAGCTCTTCCAGGATGAGGCTGTTTGTTTCTTTCCTAAGGAGGTTTCGCCAAGTGCCTGGGTGTGCGTATGTATTTCTGACCCAGATTTTTGTGCTGATTCATGAGTCAGATAAATGCAGGTAGATGTAGATAGCCAGATCCATGCTTTGGAAAGACGTGGAAGGAAAAGTACCTTGAAGCTTTCTTCTCCAGGGTGGTTTAGTACATTGCTGAGTATATGATATATGGAGTAAGCCAGTGAAGGATCTGGAGCCCATTTTGCATTCAAATTGTATGTACAGCTTGCAATTTTTTTTTCCTCTACAACATCTTTCAAAAGATGAGGCCAATAGCAATTTCTTTCAAATAACATTTAGGCCATGGGATGTTCTCCCTTTAGAAAAGCTTTGTGATTGAGCAGCCACCCCTACATCATTAAGCACTTTCAGAAAGTCCCTGTAATCTTAGTCCCTTCCTTAGCAGCTGACACAGTTCTATACCTCTGGACTAGTTTCATCCAGGGCACAGTTAATTCAGCTCCCCACTGCTCTTCCTGAGGCAGCATAAACTTTCTAAGTCAGCATGACCATTATTTTCCTCTGAACAATTCCCTATTCATAATTTCTCTTTCCCTCAGTGTACAGGCAATAAAGGAACAGACCTGTTGTTCCTCATGTTCTCCATATGGGTAATTTCTCAGATCTGTAACGTAAAATGGGAGAAAGGAAAAACTCTGTATCCTGATGAGATACTGGGATTAAACTGCATCTGGAAAATTTCAGGGCAACTGGAAAGGTGAAAGTGGAGTGTTTGTTCATACTACTAAAGAAAATACCACTTCCAGGCAGAAGCTTCTGCTGTCCTTTAATATATCTGTATTTCAGTACTGGTTGTTTTCCTTCCCTGGTGCAAGAGAAGCAAAGAATGGGCCTGGGAAGGAATTCTGTTGATATACCTGCATACTTGGTTGGGGTGCAGAAGAGAGGACTCCAGCCATGCTCAGCAGACTACTTTTTTCAGGCTGACCAGACAGAACTGGTGCTCTAGCAGTTTCTCTTGTGTTGCAGGAGTGGGAGATGGGTAATTGGTTTAAGGCCAAGGACCCCATGGCACCCACTGGTACAGAAAGCAGTTTTTCCTATAGCTATGCTGTCAGCTGTGCTAGAAAAACTCAGAAAAGAATCTGGACCTGAAGGAATGGCTGAACCTAACTTTATCACTTTTGATTTTGTCTTTTATCATTCTATTTGACATTTTCAAGATGGAACCTTTGCTCCAGATTGATTGCCTATGGCATTGTGAGCTGGGGAAATAGGACTTCACTTCCCTGCAATCACTTCTTCTCAACTGTCTCTGGTTAAATAGGGATGTAGGGAATAATGATTGTAGTATTGCCAACTTGCTACTGTCAGGAGATAATGTTCATCTAATTAGACAAAACAAATGTCTATACAAGCTGAGAGGGGAAGGGAGAAGGGAAAGAATGCTGCATCCAACAACTTTGAGCATGAATAACTGTCACTTCATGGAAGCTGCCAATGTAATGGTGTGACTTCTCAGGTTGCCCAGAGAAGTTGTGAATGCTGCATCCCTGGAGATTTTAGAGGCTGGGTTGCATGGCCTAGTGGGTGGCAACCTGGCCCATGACAGGGGATTAGAACTGGATGGGCTTTAAGGTTCCTTCTAACCCAAGCCATTCTATGACTGTGTCAGTCGTAGAATCACATTTTGGCCCCCTCCTTATGTACAGAAATATAGTCCACTGTTCTGGCTTCTGAAACCCTCTACCAGCACCAATGGTCCTTTTAGAAATGGAGGTACGTGTCATTTGAACAAAAATTTAAAAATCGGAACAGTGCTGTATTTATTGTATTTAATTCCGTATGTTTTGTTTTGTTCCCATAGGTTTACTCTGTGTGCTATAAATGTGCTCATGAAACATGGGAAAAATGGTCATGGCAGGGGTTCATAGAGTTCATGGAGTATAGCACAGGCATTGGAAATGGTGTGAGGCATTTTCACATCATGGAATAGGCGTCCAACCAGGAAGCTTTGGATAGGAAATGTTTTTTTGATCTTATTTAAAAACTTCAGGAAGTCATTGCCTGGCATATTTTATAAAAGAAAGTGAAAGATTGTTTGCTTTGTTACTGTTTGTACTACAGTTTTCAATATGTGTTATATTCAGTCTGATATCCTCCAGGAATCTGCATCTCCAGGCATCTGTTCTCTAAGGCCACTGGGAGGGAGGGAGGGAGGGAGGTGTAAGGCACCCAAAGTCCAATCCAGTTTGTTCCTTGGAGTAAAACCAGACGCCAATGAGTGATGCTGTTTCATACTATCAGAGTGTAGGAAGGCCATGTTTTGTTTTGTTTTTTTTTGTTTTTTTGTTTTTTTGGTTTTTTTTTTGCTTATAGGCTTTAGACAACCTGTGCTCTGCAGTGTTCTTCTGCGACAGTCTAAGGACCAACTGTTCTGTGAAGGCTAGCCATAGTTTGGAGAATATACACATAGTTTGGAAAATAAACATGCTTAAGTCAGATGGAAGGTAAAGATAAGAGGAAATAGGTTTTTTTCATACTTCCTTAGATCCAGTCTAGTATGATGTTTTTATTTTTGCCTCCAGGTTCTTTGTTTAGACCTTATGCTTTCTCACTCACTTGTGCCTATGAACATACTTGTATTTGCGGTGGGACTTCTGTGCATCCATTCTGTGAGACCAATTTCAGCAAGAAGAGTTGTGCAGGAAGCAGGTACCACAGGATTGTGAGTTAACCTCCTCTGGTCTCAGAACTGTCCTGAGCCTCATGGGGCTGTTGCTTGTGGGTCACTCCAGTCTTCCTCACTGATGTCTTGTCAGATGAAGCAGGGAAAAGGGGCTTTTCTAGGACTCTCTTATCTAAGACAGGCAAAGAAATTACTGCAAACAAGCAATGATGCATGTTCTTAAAGAATGAGACCCTTTTCTCTGAGAACAAGCCAAACTTCTGTGTCTTCTTTCTCCTGTATTGGTAGCTGAAACAGAGCAAATGCTGCATGATGCTCAGAGCCTTTGTATGGCAGAGCTCCCTGTAGCTTGCACTGCATCACATGAACATTTCCAGAAGGGATATAAAATTCCTTCCTTCTCTCCAAAAGCTTATTTTGCTGACTCATGGAGTCAATCATACAAGATAGACAGATGTCTTCCAGCCTCTTATTTTTCTTTCCTTCTCACCTATCACAAACCTGAATTTTTACTTTGAATTAC